TTTTTTTTTTTTTTTTTTTTTTGTTTTTTGTTTTTTTTGTTTTTTAAAGGATAAGACAGATAAGGCCCAAATCACAGAAACAACATCCGATACAATTGAAGGGCTAAACAGTTCTGAGTTTCTCCGTGAACCAGGATGATTTTGGCAGAAAAAAAAAAAAACAAAAAAAAAACAAATAAAGTGTAATATGTAGGTAACAGACATGGACTTTCACCATCGTAAGCCTGTGTGAAAGGAAAACCATGTTATCATAGAAGGAGCTTTTTACCTAAAATTCTAAACAGAAAGCGCAGCTAAACAGCAAAGTGTTAACACAGGGGAGCAACATAGAGGAATGGCTGGCATAGATTCAAGACAGCAGTTTCCTCCAGACAAGTAGGGGCACCCAGAAGTCTTCAAAGGCACCACACTGGCCTATTTTTCAAGTTAAATGATGAACACGTGAAAAGCCAGGCATGACGGCACATTCTCATCACCTCAGCATGTGGGAGTTGGAGGGTGGAGAGTTAGGTAGGATTCAAGGATAGCCACTGCTACATAGTGAATTCAAGGCTAGGTTGGGCTCCATAAGACCTGGTCTCGAAAACCAAAACAGGGCTGAAGAGCTGGCTCCATCATTATGAACACTTGTTACTCTTACAGAGAACCCCCATTCAGTTCTCACACGGCAGCTCACTCAGTCCATAACTCCAGTTCCAGGAGATCTGACACCTTCTTTTCTGATCTCCAAGGGCACCACGCATGAGTGGTACACAAGATTACGCACAAGGCGAACACTCATATACGTAAATACAATGAACCCTTACAAACAACACAAAAGAAAGCATAGCCAAGGTTTCAAAAAGTATTATTTCGAGCTGGAGAGATGGCTCAATGCTGAAGAGCACTAGCTGCTCTTCCAAAGGACCCTGCTTGGATTTCCAGCACCCACAGTGCAGCCAACAACCATCAGTAACCCCAGTTCCAGGACTCTTAAGCCTCTTGTGGCCTCCTGGGGCACCAGGCATGCACAGGGCATGCAAAACACCCATGCACACAAATAAAATAATTTAAAAATAAGTCAATAAAAGTTGTTTTTATCACTCTCAGGGCTGAATGTGTGCAGTTGTATTGGTGGTGTCTTTTACTATAAACCATATTAAAACAGCCAGTGTTCTTCGAGAACACCTTCATTTGATTAGGCAGCTGTGATAAGACTGATATTGGCATACAGTAATAAGCACTTAGTTTTGGGTGTTTTGGCTTCCCGGGCCTCAGTTTCCCCATATGCAAGCAATAGGCGCTGTCCTCCACTGTGCAGGTCCAGGGTTCCCTTTCTCCTTCTCCTCTGCAACTCTCTCTCTCTCACACACACACACACACACACACACGTGCACACCCACACACTGACAGCCAGGCTCCCTCCGCCCTAGGTCACTAGTGGCTCCCAGAACACTCACAGCGGTCCCTGAAGCTCTGGAATGGGACCTCCAGGTCTTGGTCTCTCTGAGGCCCTTCCGCTCCTTCTGCTTTCCTCAGGGGTAAATGGAGCCTGCATGACAGTCCACACCTGCAACTGCAGCACCCAGGAGGCTGAGGGAGGGAGGCCACGGGATTGTCTAAGGCCGGCATGGGCTTTGCTGCTTGACCTTGTATCAGAGAGAAGGAAATAACGATCCATGAGCACAAGTATCTGCTCATCATCTAAGCCCCAGGTAGATACTGTAAAAGGCTGTGCTTCTCGGAGGGATCTGGACCAGTGAGTGACCTGTCTCATCTTGAGAATAAGGGACAGGATGAGTTTTGCAGTGTGCTTGACAGCATTCTTCATGAACTCTCCCATCGAGATCGATGTCACTGTCCCTCCTTTCCCTGGCTTTTCCTCCACCACCGTGCATCTGTGGTGGTGAAGCCTTCCTGTTCTGGGAAGGTATTTACTCCAGGAAAAGTGTCTCTGGCCCTGAGTGTCCATCTCTGAACCGGCTTCAGTCACAGGCTATGTGACTGAAGTGGAATGGCCGGGTCTCCACCAGGCTGGGAGGTGCGACCTCCAAAGGCCGTGGCCTCACTTATTCACCTGGAAGCCTGGACCAGGCCGGTGGACCTGTCAAGTTGTTGAACTGAACCTTCGTGGCCGTTCTATTCCGGTTTTGCACGGTGCACGGAACCTGCTTCTGCAGCTCCTGCCTTCAGCAGTCGGGTGGTACAAGCTCCGAGCCGCCCAGAAGTGGCGTGGCCAGAGGCGTGGCTAGAGATGCTGGGGCGGGGCCTGTTCAAGGACGGGGCGGGACCAGCGCGGGCCTACCGGGGGCGGGGCCGGGGTAGGAACGGGGCGGAGCAGGAAGGGACGGCGGCCCTGCCCGGCTTCCGCGTCACGGCCCTTAAAGCACCTGCCCTCCCTGTCTCGGCTACGAAAGTGCCGTCCGAGCCCGAGACTCGGCTCCATGGACGCGCTACGGATGGCGTCCGGCGCTCGGCGGGGTAAGTGAGTGCTGCGGCGTGGGACGGGTGGTGCGCTGCTTTGGGGTCGGCCCCGGGAGGGTCCGCCGGGACCCCGCCGACTTCACCCTGGTGCGTGGAGCGGGGTGTCTTGGGGCACCTGGCGCAGCGGGGCTCTAGCCGGGACCGCCTCCCATCACCGGGCCCCGTAGCTAACCAGAGTCGCTCAGCAACTTTTCTTCCCGTGGGTCACCCTGGAAACTTGTCGTTCCCGGAACGACTCTGGCCGGACTCCGGCCCTGGGCTTCTTAGTTTGAGACTCGGGACGAAGGCAGTGGCCGCAACGGGGAAGCCCCTGGATCCCTTGCGCACTTCCAGTCCCCGGTTTCCTTCTGAGAGCCCCGCCCCCGCCTCTTGGGTCCCCTGAGTTGGCGGATCAGAACGGGTTTGGGGGTGGAGTCAGATCAAGTTCAAACTTTTGTGTCACAAACTATGAGTTGATGACCTTGAGCAATTTTTTTTACTGCCTGTGCCTCGGTTTCCCCCATGTGAGAATAAGACTTCTTGCCAAGAGTTCTTGAGAGCACAGCTTGAGCTGACACGTGAGGATGTCTTTAGAGAGTGTCACCTCAGTTCATGCTGCCTCATCCTGTGGGGAAGAAAAGCGGAAAGAGACCTACATTGGGCATTCCTTGCCCCCTAACCCTCTGGTCTAGTCAATAGGAGCTGTGATGGACGCCTTCCAGGAATCTGAAATATGAGTGACCCCTGTGAAAAGAATCCTGTCCGAGAAGCCAGCCCCACCATGAGTCTATGGAGTCTTGAGGACAGCCACAGCTGCCGGGGTCGTCCTCAGCCAGCCCAGGATCCTGTAGCCAAAGAGGCCTCTGCTTCCGAGCTGCAGATGAAGGTGGACTTTTTCCGTAAACTGGGCTACTCGTCCTCTGAGATCCACAGTGTCCTGCAGAAGCTGGGCGTCCAAGCAGACACCAACACAGTGCTGGGAGAACTGGTGAAGCATGGTTCAGCGACAGAACGAGAGTGCCAGGCCTCGACAGACCCCTGCCCCCAGCCCCCCTTGGTGCCCCGGGGTGGAAGCGCTCCCAAGCCTTCCACTCTAGAACCCTCACTCCCAGAAGAGGACAAGGAGGGCAGTGACCTGAGGCCCGTGGTCATCGATGGAAGCAATGTGGCCATGAGGTACGTGTCAGTTGTGGACTGGTGAGGAGATGCGAAAGCTCTCTGAGAGGCCCCACCATGTGCCAGGAGGATCCCTTAAGCCTCAAAGACTTCCTTGGGGTGTTTCATAAATGGCGTAAGAAGGAAAATGGAAGCTCAAACCCTTGCCCAGAGTCACGCCCCTTGCTAAATGGGAAGCAAGGATTCAAACCCGGAGTGGACCTTATGCCATGGTCTCTCCTGACACCAGTTTTCTCCTTTAAGGGATTAATTAGCCTGTGGACCCAAGAGCTTTCTGGGAACCAGTTACTTAGTCGGTTGAGCCATTTCTTGGCTCTCCTGTCAAGCTTTCCACTCAGGTGGCCCTTGTGGGAGAAAATGCACAGAACATGGAGAGCTACAAGTACTCAGTGAATGGTTGTTGTTGCCATTCAGTGGCTGAGTCCTCCGGGAACTCTTTCTCCTAGACCGAGCTCCCACAGAAGCAAAGCTTATTAGTTATCGAGAACTTCCTAGCCCTAACCAGCTGTGACCTGTTGGCCAGATATGGCTCTTCAGATGCGTGTGAGCAGGTGGCCTGACTCTCTGAGCTTAGGTGAACCCTGATGGGATCTGTACTGACTAAAGCTGCTTGAACTAGTCTGATCTCTGGGGGTTCCCAGACCTCAATGCTTGTCCCCTTTGCCTATCTCTCGGGGAATGGGGTGGGGTGGGGGTGGAGACAGGCTATGAGCCAGGCTACCTCTGACCTTAAGGAGCTCTGGCTTCTCCCTTCCATCAAGGCCGCACCCTCTAGCCCTGCTTTCTCCCAGTTCCCTGCACAACGGGCTGGTGAGTCAGGACTGGGTGGATTGCTCACAAGGAAAAGTTCCTGTTGGCAGGGACACGGGGAGACCCCTGCAAGAGAACAGGAAGAGGGGGAAATCTTTCCAGTTTCCCTGAGGGCTCTCCCAAGTGGACTGCCCAATTTGTCATGATGTCAGCGTCTTTCCTACCTGGCATCTGGCCCCACCTACTCCCTGCCCAGCTAGGTCAAGTGAGCTGTCCAGCTGGCCCTACTAAGTTGGTACGTGGGGGCAACCCTCTTCTATCACCTCTGTTCTGTCTTCACATCTTTAAAATGGGCTGATCCTGGGTAGAAGACTGAGAAATGCTGGCTTCCATGCCAGAGGGTGGTGGGTGAAACTGGTACCTTCAGAATCCAGACTTCGCTCTGAGGTTCTGAGCTAGAGTAGGAATTAGGTCTGACTTCCCCTAGGAGTCATGGGCTGGGTGTTCTGAGTCTTGTGGACAGCCATGTGCTGTGTGTATTTGTATTCTGGGCAGGGAAAGGAGGGGCCTGGAAAGGGGGAGGGGCAGTAGTGGAGGGCTTCAGGAGAGCTGATACCAAAGAGACAGACAGCCACTGTCTGCCGCCTTGCCTGTCCGCCTGCCTATCTGCTGGGGGTTTCTGAGCTGGGGTGGCCTCGGAAGGGGAATTCCAGCCTCACACTTCCTGTCTCAGCAGCTGCTTGGTTCCTACCCTGCTGCTCCCCACACACACAAGGGCAGGCCCAGCTAGCCCCCACCATATGCAAATCGTGGGGAAATTCACCTCTTGTTTCCTTCTAAGGGAATTTTCCTCCACTGGGCCCAGCCCAGGCAGTTCTTTTCACCTGGGGAGACTAGCCCTGCCTTGTCCTTGGGCAGGAACTGGAGTCTTCTACATACACAGCCCATCAGGCTGGGGCCCCTAACCTGTGGGCCAGCAGGGCTTTGTGGGTGGGAGGAAGTTGGTTTGCCTGGGCCAACCAAGCTTCCTGCATTGCACTGAGCTGAATGGGTTGTCCAGGCGTTCTGGGCCTCAGGCCTCAAGTGTTCTCCCTGCCAAGAATAAGGCTCTGACTACCTGCTGAGGGAACATTCCACCGCCAGCACTGCTGGGAGTAGGCATCCCCAGCCAGGGTTTTAAATGCCCAGAGGCAGTACACAGCTGTGGAACCCTGGCATCTTAAGATCCTTAGACTTGACTTTGCTGGTCCGGGAGTGGCCCATGAGTCCACAGAGAGGTCAGAGGACATGTGGACGCGAGCCATGGGCCGGATACCTACCTCATGTCGGGAGGAGACAGTGTGATGGGGCAGCACTGGGCATTGTGAGGCCGCCGCCTGGGACCTGTCCTGGCTGTTGAGGGAGGACTTCTCAAGGGTTTTGACATGTCACCCGGCTTCCAGAGGGAAGAGCAGGAATTTCCTGAGAACTGTCCATTACTTCTCTGGCTGCAGGGATGCGTGTTCCTCTCCATATGCAGAATGCACATCATGGACACTTGAGTTGAGAAACTGCTTTTCTCTCATATAAACTTTGGGTCTTCTGACAGGGCTCAATCCAGTAGCCCCACACCTGGCTTCAGTTTTCACCTATTAGCACTAGCCAGGTACCTTATAGAGTGGTGGAACCTTCCCTGCCAGCACTGAAAGAGATGGCCTAGGTGGACTCCGTGCCTTTCCCAACCATCAGGGCTGTTGGTACCTAAGCAACAACAGAGTAGTTCTGATCACTGGCTCCAGTGTGGGCCTGGTTACCCCCTCTGGACCATGTGAACAGAGGGGAAGGGGATGGTAATGGCAGTGTACTTCTTGTAGGCTTGCTGATGGATGATTCAGTGGGAAGCACAGGAAGGCCAGGTTTGCAGCCCCCACTATGGCTGCATGGGACACGGGACCAGAAGCGAATGGGTGGGGATGAACTTTGTTTCTTATACAATTGAGAGACCTCTAGACCTTGGAGCCTCCATGACTCGAGCTGTCCCACTTCCCACTCTGTGTCCTCTTGGGGCTCCAGCTATCGCTCTCCCAAAGCTACCCCACAGGATGTGGTCTGCCATGGACTTGCCTCTTTTGCGTAACATTTATTCTGTTTTATTTGCCAAATATGAGTTGTGAGTCGCTCGCTATGGGGCTGACAAGAGGCAGAGCATGCTGAGGAGAGAGCCCCAAGCCCCCAGTCCTCCTTCAGCACTCCCAGGAAATCCACCTTGCCAGCTGTCTTTTGCCTCAGAGTTTATCACCCTGGCATGAACTGGCTTGTCTAAGAAAGCTGCTGTCCACCATGCTTATGGGAAGAGATGCGGACCAGGGCAAGAAGCTAAGCTGCTTCTGAGGAAAGCCATGTTTAGATAGAACAAGGCGAAGGTCTGATGCCCCAGCTGTCCCTGTGAGCGAGCAAGAGTTCCCCAGCAATTTCCTGCCCGTCTTTCTGCCAGGAGTCACGCCCTCCCTGAGGCAATGAGGTGGGGGTTGTACAGGGATGGGCAGGCTTGCAGGGAACCAGCCTCTAAGAGGAAAAGAGGTGGCCTTTCACTTTCACACTGAAAAGCTCCTGGCTTCAGTTTTCACCTGCAGGTAACTTGCAGGAGTGCCTCCTGGCTCTGTTATTTCCTGACCCCTTGGTGGAAGGGTGACACCCCGCATTCCTTCCCTGTACCCTCTGGGGACTCAAGCTGAGACCTTGTGCACAGACTGAACTTCAATCCAGAACAGTCTGGTTTCTCCCGCTTAATATGGCTGGTGCCT